ATCAGCAGGTCTCTCCAATACTACCCGTATGCAGTTCTGACACTTTCATTCTAATTAGCTAATTGCTCACATGGAAAAACAGGTTTGTATTGGGATTTTAGCTGCTGGAGCCACTGCTACTACCCAGCTTCAGACTAGGGCCCTCGCTCAGAGCAATACAGTAAGAGAAAAAGTAAACTGGGGGATCCACTGTCCCATAGGGTCACCTCACCAAATTACCACATTTATCACCTGCCTACTTTGGTATATGTGGCAGAATCATTGGGTAGTTCCTTTTTCTAAAATTTTAACCAGTGTTATTATTTTGTGGTTGGTTGCTTGGTTGGTTTATTAAGATAGGATGTCTTGTAATACAGGCTGGCTTCCAACTCCCTTTGTGACTCAGGATGCCCTTGATCTCCTGATAGCTATGTCTCTACCTCCCCAGACAATGGTATGTGTCACCATACTAAGCTTGATCACAGCTTTTAAATATAATTAACAAGACAGCAAGAGTGAGGCTGCAGTGGGGTTACTTCCACTAAGCTAGTAAGTGACCCCACACTGCACATGAATAATTCAGTAGCATTGAAAGCTAGTCATGGTGGTACACACCTATAATCATAGCATCCTTGGCTACATAGTAAGTTCAAGACCAGTCTGAGATACATAGGAACTTATCTTAAAAAAATAAAAATAGCACTGAAATTTACCCAGAAAAAAATTCTACAGAGTAACTTAAATATAAAAAGTAAACCGATGAGGATAGAGGGATGATTCAGGCAGTAAAGTAATTGCCAACCAAGTATCAACCAGATCCTTTCACTCAAGAACCAGGTGCAGCAAAGTGACTCTTTAACATCACTACTAAGGAGTGAGACATGGTAGAGACAAAACAGATCCCTAGAGTTCACTAGCCAGTCATTCTAGCTCTATATTCAATGAGAGACCCTGCCTCAAAAACTAAGACGGAAAGCCACAAGAAAACAACCAACATCAATGTCTGGCTTCCATATACATGTTCACAAGTGTACATGTACCCACAAGGGCACATTAACATACATACACGTGCAAAATAAACTTTTAAAGAAGCAAATCAACTGTGGATTCCTTAAAAAGTACAACTGTAGGAGGATAATGAGAAAGTTCAATCAGTAAAGCATTCATTTTACTATGAGGTCTATGAGGACCTGATTTTAATCCCTAAAACCCATATTTTAAAAAAATACAATTTAGGGGGCTGTGGATATAGTTCAGAGGTAGATTGCTTACCTAGTATGCTCAAGGTACCAGGCTCAATCCTTAGCAAAGAGGGAGAGAATGAGATTGAGTATATAAATACAATCCTGGACTATTTGTGAAGAAGAAAATAAAGGACCAAATGACCACTTCTAGCAAATAAATATTATACAAGCACATTATTGAAGGAGAAAAAGAAATACCCTGCCTTTCAAGATTATATTTATATTTTTTAAGATATGCTACTAAACATTATTTATTGCAGCATATTGACCTCCATAGAGTCAGTGCCAGGATAAATGAAAACTAGAAGGGTACTGAATGAATGCCTCAATGAGGAAAAAATTAAGCAAGGGCAAAGGACATGCCTTTTAGTACAGCACAGACACTGTAAATCGCTATGCAAATATAAATCACATTCTTATTGGTGCACATTTTATGGGGTTGGCAGTTTTCTCACCTCCTCTATCTCTGATGCAGTATATACAAATGCTACTAAATACTATTCATCCCATTGGGTTTCAAAACCTTAATGAATAGGGGCCATGTTTCAGTTTTCTCAATACATTTCATATGATCCACTTGAGTTCTCACTACAGTCTTAGTCAACTAATGCTATTTACTAGCTTTGTCAAAGTCAAAGGAGAAAGAAGACTGCCCTTACAATTTCAATTAATGCTGGGAAGTCTTTGTAGAACCTCTCGCACTAGATATTGTCTACCTAAATTCTGTAAAATGCTGCCTACCTCTAGGGGAACACAATTAATGGTTAAGGTGCTGCAAGCCCAACAAGAATAATGTTGTATGATCTAATTAACTTTAGCCATACAGCAGCTATTGGCAGAATGAGCAAAATGACCATTTCTCGATAAGAAGAGGAGGAGGAGGAATCGAGGGAGGAGGAGGAAGAGCAGCAGCAATCTACAATGGTGCTCACACTTCTTAGCAGAAGGCAGGCACAGAAAAAAGAATTCTGGAAGCTCAGGAGACAACATGTGAGGGCTTATACAATGAGATTTTAGGAAATTATTAAAGTTGTGAATAAACTGGGACTTGAATGTTTAGATTAACTAGAATTTCAAATCTTCATACTAAAATGTAAACTGGGGAAGCTTAAATTCGAAACAAAATAAACTACTTAGAGAATGTTAGGAGATACAGAGATGTAAAAAAAGAAAAAATATAGTGAATACATTGTTTTTTTTTTCACATGATTTGTGTGTAAGAGAGAAGGGGGAAGAGAGAGAGAGTTTGAGGGGGGGGGGGAGAACATGCCCAGAGCTCAGAGGACAACTTACAGGAGTTTCTTCCATCATGTGGGTCCTGAGGATTAAACTCAAGTTGTCAGACTTGATGGCAAGTGCTTTTACACACTGAGATATCTGGCTAGGCCAGTGAAAATATTTGGACAGAGTGAAGTTGTATCACAGCTAGATATCTATAACAATGACTTCAATAAAGCCAATGATATTTGTAGTATGCCTGTAACCATTTCTGCATCATTAAAAATAATAGTATCTATCGTCACAGGAGTCAGGGTTAGGGTTAGGGTTGGGTTCTGGGTGAAGACTGGAAGAGTTATGTGTTCTGAACTAGCAGTGGGAACAGCAAATGTTTTCCCATGAAGAAGGGTGTCTTGACTCATAGCATAGTGTGCTTGCTGGATATGGGGCATTCTATTACAGACCAAGGAGAACTGGAAAAAAAGTACCAGTCTGTTTGGGGATGTATTGTGGATGCTGAACTGATATTCCTGAACTGATAAGATACTACCATGGTTATTTATTAAGTGGCGCTGCTTACGGTGCAAGAGAAGCCATGAGGCACGACAAAACCCACTATAAGAGTTTATAAAGGGAAAGGAAGAGAAACGGTGTGCACAGGCCTATAAAATGGCCATGCAGGAAGAGAGAGAAGGAATAGGTGAAACCTGTTTTTATAGGTAACCCCCCATGCGCACATGGGCTTACATAGCTACATCATTCATGTGCATAGATTACGTGATCACAGAGCGCACAGATTACATAGGACCTAAGGCCCTAGGAAGACTAAGCATCTTGCCTGGCTACTGGACAGCGTATGTGCAGTCATACAGCTGGGGGAGTGGCTAGGAATTCTAACAACCGCTCCTTGGTAGTTGAGGCCCAAAAGAACAATTAGAATCTGAAAACTGTTCAGTCTTTCAAAGATGATGTTGCCAATTTGTTGTCAGAAAGCTGTAAATGAAAAAAAAAAATCTAAGAAGCCCAGAACCAAAACTCCCGATTCAGTTGTGTTACTCCAAGTGTCCTGAAATAAAATATGCCAACATATTGCTCTGAAGAAACAACACACCAAGAAAGTAAAGAGGAGGCTGCAGAATATGATAAACTTTTGGCCAAGAGAATGAAAGAAGCCAGGAACACATTGTCCAGAGATGTAGGCTGTCCTCACTGAGAACTTTTACTTCTAAGTCTCAGTCCAGTCAAAAGTAAGAGTGCTGGGGATGGGGAGATGGCTCCACAGTTAAAAAGATTGGTTGCTAATCTGGGGAATATAGGTTCGATTCCCAGCACCCACATAGCAGCTAACAACTATCTGTAACTCCAGTTCCCACTTCTGGCCTCTGTGGACACTGTGTGCAGACATATATGCAGGCAAAACACCCATGGACATAAAATAAATAATAAAATTTAAGAGTCACTAAGAGTAACAAATAGCCAGTTGTGGTGGCACATGCTGGTAGGATTTGCTGAAGGAGGTGGAGGTAGGAGGATCACGAGTTCGAGGCCAGCCTGGGCTACACATTTAAAAAAAAAAAAAAGAGTAACAAATAAATGATCAGGACTTTATCCTGATAAACTCATCTATCAGGCTAGACTAGCTGGCCATCAAGCCTCAAGGATCCTTCAGTCTCCTGTTCCCTACCACTGAAATAAAAAACACACCATTACACCCAGTATTTAATGTGGATTCTGTGGAATGAATTCAAATCCTCATGTTTACTGACTAAGCTATTTCCCTACCCTCATATTCTTAATGTCTTTCTTTGTTGTTGTTGTTTTGGGTCTTTTTTAAGACAAGGTCTCTCTATGTAGCCCTGACTGTCCAGAAACTCACTATATAGATAAGGCTGGCCTTGAACTCACAGTGATTCACCTTTAATCCTCTGCTCCCAAGGTGCTAGGATTAAAGATGTGAGCAACTACACTCAGCTACTGATGTCTACTGTAAAACTTTAGGAGTCCCAAGGTCAAAAGATTGACCAAAACTTAAAAAGCAGCATTAATTCTTCATTTATTCTACTTCACAGAATTGTAGCAGATTATGAAAATAAATAATTGGCTTTTAAAATATAATTATTATAATGTACACTAAGAAATGCTACATAACAAAAATGTTAATGTTACAGTATTTGAAAGCCAAGATTTTATTGTAAAGCTTATAAAATAAATAAATAAACAAAAAGGTTTAAGGTAAAATGACCTGAAGCAGTTACTGCCTTACTTGATAAAAGTTCCATTTTTGATTCTTGAATCATTTCAGAGACATCAGAGTAGCTTGCATTTTGAATACATTTAAAGTATTCCCTAACACTCCTACACTAAAAGTGTAATCCAGGTCCAAAAAGAAAAAGTAAACAATCTGGCATTATCAACCTGACTTCTGCTAGACTGAACAACAGATCTTGTAGCAAGCCTTTTCTAGATTAGCAATTTAGTACTAACAGAGATATCAAATTTTGCTATGAAGAAAAGTCACTTGGGAATTAAAAAGAAGCAAAATGTAACAAGCATACTTACTCCTTTTGAAAAGCCATGCACAGAGGGGAACTGAATCCAAAGACCAAGCACATCTGAGCATCTGGGCTGTAGCCATTCTGCAGTAGTATTTCCAGGCACTCTTCCCGTCCTCCAAACACTGCAGAGTAAACAGGGCTCACTTTGTCAGGTCCAGTGTCACAAGCCCGGTTAGTAAGTGGTATTAACAAGTCCAAGATCCTTCAAATATACAAATGGGAGGAATATTTAATATAGTAAATACACCTGCTTTCATTGTTCACTATTACTTGCCTTACCACCACCACAACCTATGCTCCTAAATCCAATTTTATGTTTGATATTTCAGGACCTAACAAATTATTTAAATATTCATTACATTAAAAATAAACTAGATGGGAAATGAGGGGCTAGGGATATTGCCCAGAGATAGAGTTCTGGCATACTATGCTGGAGGCCTGGGGTTGAGTTCCCAGCACTGAAAATTGTATATTAACCAGTTGTGGTAACACATACCTATAAGTCAGCAGTCAGAAAATTCCAGGAACCAGAGTTACCTACAAAGGCTCTGTTCACAAACAAACAAATAATAACAAAAGATAAAATGAAGCACTTTCCTTCTTAAACACTAAACTTAAACACTTGGCTTTGTTTCCTTATTAGTAAGAATTTTTTAAGAACATGAGTGACAATGAAATTAGAAATTAATTTTTAATCAGAAGAAATTAAAGCTATAGTAAAATACTGCATTCTCAGAAAAAAATGTAATCATTAACATCTGAGGTTTATTTATAAAAAAGTGGCTGCTTTCCCTCCATAAAACACATGTGAACTAACACTGGAGGAGAACTAAACCACAGGTGGATTATCTTTGAAGCAGGCTATAGATGAAATCAGTGGCAACAGATTTCTCAAAATTGGGCACAATTAAGGACAAATTCTTATGAGTTTTGGTATCAATTTAAAGCTGAGCATAACTGTTAAAAGATTTTTCTAGGTGCTAGAGAGATGGCTCAGCAGTTAAGAGCACTGTCTGCTCTTCCAGAGGACCCAGGTTCAATTTCCAGCTCCTACATAGCAGCTGACAACTGTCTATAGCTCCAGCTGTAAGGGATCTGATACGCTCACATAGACATACATGCAGGCAAAACACTAATGCACATAAAATAAGAATTAAAGATTTTTCTAAATAAATAATAAACAATTAGAGGAAATGGATTTAAAACATTTTTGTAAAGAATACAAAATTGGGTGTGCACCTGGGAAAAGTTGGAGGAGGGTGATGATGTTCAAAACATGTATCACAGTCTCAAAGAACTAATAATAAATTTTAAAGAGCAAGCAGAAGAAATATCAAATGCTAAAACCAAGTATGTTATTAAAAGTAAGAATCTGCATGACACTTCTTAAATATAATAAATGTGTCTAAGTTTTAAAGATGAACTAGAAAAAGTATACTGTCACAAGGCTTACAAAGAACTTTGAGGACACATGCCACCTAGCAACAAAATATCCAGTTTGTGGACTCCCATTTTCCTACTGTATAAACACAATGATTATTTTGTTATTTTTAATTAAACAACACTAATGATATCTATAGAAAGTACTACTGAAGAATGATGACACTGCAAACATGATTTTTAAATCTGTCCATACTGATTTATGGGAGGGAGCCTTATTCTTATTGACTTAACCATGTTACTAACTTCTAAAATTTCCATACTCCCCAATATACATTCTCCAAAATATACTAATAATTTCCTAGGGACTTCTAGCAAAGAAAGAATAACAGAAGCAAGAAACAATACCAGACCAGAGGTGAGATTAGGTAACAAGTCTAATCAAAGGGTTTAGGATGGGATGGACTACTTATCACACAAAAAAGGAAAACACCATTCCAAAAACATCAAAGACTCTTTCTGCAGACAGGGAGATAGTGCAAATTAGTAAGGCCATCACACTGCTAGTTGAAGATACTTGGTATAAAGCCAGGAGGAAAGGGAAAAGATGGCCATTAGCTGTTGAAATCCTGAGAAAACTCTAGTACCCACCCCATCTCTAGTCATTCTTCCACAAAGTGGGAAAATGGAAAATTTAGACGAACTGAGAGGAGATGAAAACAGCATAGGGGAAATGAGGCAGAAATTTAGGCATCCTTCAAATTGGTTAGAGAAAGGAATGACCAAGGATTTTACCTGGAGGTAAAGGGTGTAGCTCAGATCTACCCTTTATTTGCTTTTAATTCTCTTAATGAGACCATTTTTAGCACTTACTTTGTATGACCCATTTGTGCAGCAGCATGAATAGGCAATTGCCAATTGTCTTCATTACAGTAAAGATCAGGATCTGCCCCACTGGACAGCAAAAGTTCCACACATTTTATATGACCCTCTTGTGCAGCAATAAACAAGGGAGTAGCTTTGTCCGAGGCTTGACAATTGATATTTGCACCTAACACAAAACAAAACATTTAGCCAATAATCCTCATAGGTCTTTTTAAAAAATAACATAACACAAATTTCAAACTACCATAACAGGCTTTCATGGTACAGCAGCTTTTACCCTTAGTGGATGCTGTTAGGGAAAATATACTTATTTTACAAACCTGTTGACAATTATTTAAATTGTTTTTGGTCTCTATCAGTAAGAATACAATCATATTTTAGAATTCATTTTTAACCAAAAAAATCATATTCAATGAAGGCTACTTATTACAATCCCTCTTCCAACAAGCACTGTGGGTTCAAAGTACAAATATTTTTAAGGATTTATTTTAATGTGTATTCATGATTTATATGTATGTATGCACACATCTGTGCACGTGCATGTAAGTATCCATGAAGGCCAGAAGGGGGCATCAGATTCCCTTGGAGGTGGAGTCCATAAACAACAGTAAGTCCACCTAACATGGATGCTGGATTTGAATTCCACCCTTCTCCAAGGGCAGCACATGCTCTTAGCCTCTCAAGCCCCAAAATATAAACATTTTGGAAGGAAAAGAGGCTAGATGTGGTGATAACAACCTATAATTCCAGTTCTTTGTAAAGAGTAAAGAGGACTACAAATAAATACACTGATGATAATTCCCAGGAAAGCATAAGTTATGAGACTTTACAGATGTCACTAACCAATTTTAGACTAAGATTTAAGAGGGAAATTACCAGTAGATATATGGCTAATATATATGGGATCTAAGATTAAAAACTATATTGATTAGTCTTACTTTATTATTAGTCTTTTCTTCCTTTATGAGTATTGCATAGTAAAACCAACAATAAATGAGGACGATGTTTTTTAATGGATCTTAGTAGATTTTAAAATAAAAACTCTGTTATTTTAATACTACTATATACAGATTGAAAAAGGCAGCCAGACATGGTAGCGCAAACATTTAATCCCAGTGCTTGGGAGACAGAAGCAGGCAATTCTCTGTGAATTAAAGGTCAGCCTGGTCAACATAGTAAGTTTTAGGACAGCCAAAACTACATAATGAGATCCTGTTTCCATAAATAAACAAACACACAAACAAAAAGATCTGAAAATGACTTTACTTCTGTAAAACTTTTTAAGAACAGTATATTTCCCTAATCTTATCACCAGCAAATAACGTATTAAATCAATTAAGATTTATGCTATTACATGATAGTGCTAATTTTTAAATTTCCCAAATACATCTCAGTATAAAAAACACCATAAAACATGGGGGAAATTGACTATCTTTTATTCAAAATAATCTTACATAAGATGTGATCTTACACAATCACTATGAAAAGAAGGAGTCCAACACTAAAACCTGCTTTAAAAAAAAAATGAACCTTCTAGTCTGAGTGATAACTTCAAAGTATCAGAAATAATAAGGAATCAGTTCCTCTAAGACTACAATGGAAAAAGTTTAAAAAACAACAGACACTGAAAGTCATTTTTAGAAGTGAGTTATATAGTTACAATATAAACAGATCTTCATACCTTTTAATTATATAAAAATTACCATTTATAAGTGTAGAGAGAAGAAAAATTAAAAACAAAGAAATACAGGAGTAAACATGCCCTGATTGTGCTGAAAAAAATATTAGTTTCTAGATCTCTGGTCAGTAGTCTGGGGTTCTTAATATTAAAATATATCATTTCAAGAAGTAATTTGAGAATCCTCTTCTTTAAGATACAGGTTCATAATTTCTCAGACACCTTCACCTCAAACTTCATGAAGGTGCATTTCTTTTACTTCCTATCTTGACTTTATGTAAAGATTTGTAAGGAAAACCAGAAATAAGAAAACTATGTCCCAGGTTTTTGGTAAGATTTGGTCTATCTGGAGGGTTGTTTTCGTTTTTTTGTTTTGTTTTTTGAGACAAAGTCTTTCTATGTAGTCCTGGCTGTCCTGGAATTCACTATGTAGACCAGTCAGCAAATCTAGTGATATGTTTCTCCCTCTGACTACCCATAGTTTCCCACCTTAGCTCTGCCGAAACACACACCCTAAAAAGACTTTAAAGCCCTTCTATGATGAACCCTTCTGGTCAGAAGATGTTACAAAAATAATGCCATGGTAACACTGTCTTCTCTGGCAATGCTTCATGTGTAAGTAGTCACACACAAACCTTTAGCTGGTTTATTCTGCCATTAACACAATACAATGCAAACATGTTTTGGATAAGCCCATTTAAATAATCAGACAATTATCAAAACATAACTCTGGCCGGGCGGTGGTGGCACACGCCTGTAATTCTAGCACTCGGGAGGCAGAGGCAGGTGGATCTTTGTGAGTTCGAGGCCAGCCTGGTCTACAGAGATAGTCCAGGACAGGCTCCAAAGTTACAGAGAAACCCTGTCTCAGAAAAAAA